ATACTGTAAAAAAAATAAGGCCTATCTCTTTCCATAAAAATATAGGCTATAAACATTCTAAAATATATGTTTACCTTTTAGGCAAATTGCATAAATTAGAATAGTGATGTCTCAAAATGCATTTATAGTCCGTATCTCATATATACCCTTAACTGCATTAAACATGGTGTCACGTGGATGGAATATGCATGGAAATGATATGCAGATGACGTTATGCAAACGTTATTAAAACTAGGCGTTGTAAGCTCCATAAATGGCTATTTCGGGGAGGAGACGGGGTGGAGATTAATGTACGCACAATCTTCCGCTGACTGGGTATTACAAAGGGAATTTTGCACAGGTTCTGGCGTACGCATGGCTTTATAAATCTCGAAAACTTTTGTACGTACGCAAAATCTAGCTTTTGTGCATACGCACACATTTAGGATGAAATCTACGTAAAGTTTTATACATGAGGCCCCAGGTTCAAAAAAGGCATAAAATACATTCACATTAATCAAGACCCCTCGATTCAAATGGATTTGTTTAACAAAGTCTTTATGAACTTTTTGGATCTTCTAAGTTTTGGTTACCTGGATTTTCAATGGGGCGACAGAAACCAGAGGGTTCCATTAAAAATGTCTCAATTTGTGTTTCGAAGATTAACCAAAGTCTTGTGGGTTTGGAACGACATGGGGCATAAAAATGACAGAATTTTCATTTTTGAGTGCACTATCCCTTTAAGTAATTTATTTTCGGGGCAGAAGCAAACTTCACACTGTGCAGCACTCCGAATTCAAGACTGCATTGTATTGTCAATGGAAAGAATCCTTGATATGCTTCCTATATTTATAGTTCCCCCTTAGCTTTGCATGTTGTTGTAAACAGAGAAAGGTTAGAGTAGATTTCGGAACGTAATGGAGGAAGTCTGCTAAGTGATCAGCGGTTGTAAGGCCTCTCTATCCAGCACTGTAACCAGAGAAGGAGACAAACTTTCAGTTGCAGAAATGCTGCAAACAGATGCCGCTGTCCCTGTCCCTGTAAATCACATCTGCACCTCCGGGGGGGAGGGTGCGATAACCCATCATAACCTCCTAGGCTCCGCGGGCACCGACTGGACGCTGGAATATTTGTCGTGATGATCAGGACAGCGGTGTTGGGAGAAGTGCGAAGCATTGTTGTGCAAACCATTGTTCTCCGAAGCGGATTTCTGCTGAAAAGGAGATGGAAATTGCTGCTGTGACAGGTTTGTCAGCTCATTGTAACTCTTATGGACTCTGCAACCTAATCTAAGACACTAAAATAATAATTCTGGTATGTCCGAGTAGACAGCGATTACGAGTTTCCATTCAAGTCAAACGTGTAGGTCGGAAACCAGATCTAGGCACTTCAAAAACAAGGTTGTGTGAAAGTAGGAGTGGTTGAATGTAATCTCATTTTGCCATTTTGTTCTCCGCCCTTCCTTAGCTCCAACCCTTGCCTGTCTCTCTGTCTTTCCTTTGTAAGCTCTCGGATTTACATGCCATGATCCGTTGTATTCATGAATGTGAGGTCTTTGCACTGATCGCGAGCCAGAAGAGTAACTTGATCCCAAGATAATCCTGTTTAATTTCTTTCAAAATGTTCCCTAGGAAACTTGATACCAGATGAAGGGCTTCGAGACCTGAAAAAAGCCCACTCACAGATGTTTCACCTCCCAGATTTGCACCTCCTCTCCACCTGTGTATGTATTTATATATGTTCAGAGCGATTCCTTCATGAAGTCACTGTGTGGTCGGTTGTTTTCTCTGAGAGCGGATCTGGTTTCGTTAGCGATCCTGGCGTATTTGCGCACGTAGGGTCTGCTGTGACAGAATCATATTATGATTTCTCTGCAAATGCGGCACATCGCTGCAGCTCAGACACAATTTTATTTTGTTTTCATTGTAGGCGCTGTCACTTGTCTCGGTGGCTGACGTGCTTTTCTGTTCAGAGTTTCTGTTGTTTAGTTGCATTTACTGCGTCTGTACTTTGTCAAAGTTGCTGGTTTTCTTTTGGACACAGAGGACAGGTGGTCTGCCACAATCAGTGTTGCCAGGCGGTTTTGAATTTGATTGTGCGGGTGGACAAAATTTGGGCTGGTTTGGGGTCAATTTGGCGGTTTTCAAACATATAAATTGCATAGGCTAATTGTTTAACAAAACAAGCCCAAGTATGTATACTGACACACACACACACTGCAGAGGCGCTGGTGCTGGGCTCAGCAGACAGATGTTATATTCATGAGTGACAAGTTTTTAGCGTGATAAGTTATAATGTATCTGATTTTGAATGTAGTATGACTGTATATTCATACTACATTCATACTGACAGCGTTTTTCGCGATGGCGCCGACGCTGATGGCTGCCTCCGTGGCGTGCTCCGCAGTTGTTTTTATGTTTTTGTTAGTTTGTCCTGTCTTTACTTATATCCCTGCAATCAGTTTCAACAGAGACAAATTGCTGGACATTCGGAAGTACACACCACCCGATATTTCACCGGTTTTCGATTATTCTGATGTTTTGCTGGACATTGTTGTCGGCGGAGCTGCGGCGCTGTTCAGATGCTTCAGGACGAGCAGACGGGGGAAGCGAGCCGGCGCGCTCGTGAAGCTCAGGCAGCGCGGATTCAGAACGCCGTTGCCGAGCATCCACCTGGCGAACCTCCGCTCTCTACCCAACAAAACAGACGAACTCCTTCTGCTCTCCCGGACAAATAAGGATTTTTCAAACTCTGCTGCTCTGTGTTTCACGGAAACCTGGCTGAATGACGCCATTCCGGACAGCGCACTACATCTGCCGGGCTTTCAGCTGTTCAGAGCGGACCTGCGACGCAGAATCAACGGGGAAATCACGCGGCAGCGGGACGTTTTTACATCAACGAAAGGTGGTGTACAGATGTAACAGTGTTAAAGAAGATGTGCTGTCCCTATCTAGAAGCGCTCTTCATTAACTGTAAGCCGTTCTATTCGCCGCGGGAGTTCCACTCGTTCATTCTCGTGAGTGTTTACATTCCTCCGCAAGCGCACGTGAGCATGGCTTTACAGAAACTCGCTGATCAGATCACAGAGACAGAACAACAACACCCGGACTCTGTTTTAA